AGATTGAAACTTACCATCCAAGTCACCCAGCTGGGTTGGAGCTGGTCTAGGTGACTCTGAAGCCAGTGCTCTCACACCCACTCCAGGTTGCTGCCCTAATCCTCGGTGTTGCACGCCACCCACACTGGCTGCATTTGAGCTCCTCCCTGCATCTTCCACGTTACTTCTGCACATGGACCACTCCTCCTTTGCTCGGTTGATTCTACTTCCTCAGGGAGACCTTCTCTGATCCCCCCAAGATGTCGGGTGTACCTTAGTCTCTGTGCCCTTTTGTTTGTCTTCCACAGCATTTCTTAATTTTAAATGCTTGCTTTCTTTGTGGGTTACTTGATTATCATAACAGGACCGTGAGCTAACACCTTTCTATGCCCACTGGTGTGTGTTCGCAGGGCTCAGCACAGACGCTGGCATCTCATAGGTCCTTAGGAAACAAGTAGCTAAGGTTAACTCCAGTAGGTGGAGGTTAACTCCAGTAGGTGGAGGCCGTGTCTGAAAAGCAATACGGAACTTGGCATCCTGCCTCCAGAAGGCTCTGAAACGTGATGCAGGACTCCATCAGGCACACCTGGTATCTACCTGGCCCCGCTCTGCCAAGATGGGGAAGAGGGATACCAGAGAGTGGGGAACCCAGGCTGGAGCAGCTTAAGTCCCTACAAATATAGTAGGATTCCTGTCAAAGAGGCATCTTCACACCACTCTTCTTCCACAGAATTAGCCTTGAACCCCTCATCATCTAGGTCTCTACCATCCAAAAGTGGCTACTGAGCATTTAAAATGTGGTAAGTCTAAACTAAGATGTGCTATTAGCATAAAATGTACATCAGAGTTCAAAGACTTATTTCGGAGAAAAAAATGTAAAGGATCAATAATTTTTATATTGATTATATGATAAAACGACAGTATTTTTCAATGTAGTGGGTTAAATAAGATGTATTACTAAATTGCATGTCATCTGCTTTTCGTTTCTTTAATGTGGCTACTAGGAAAATTTTAAACTGCAAATATAGGTTGCATTATGTTTCTAATGGACAGTGCTGTTTAGACTATAAGCTCCATGTGGCTCCTCCTCTGCTTTGTTCAGAATTGTATGCCCAGCTTGGAGTAAGGCCCAGCACACAGTGACTGTTCCATAAATATGTGGGGTGTGAATAGAACTTGTGATTGACGTACTTGTCAGCACACTGCCTAACAACTATTTTTTTGAATGGACAGATGAACCTCCAGTGTTCTCCATGCTGGCTTGATTCTGCTACATAACTTCCCTTGGCTGCTTCTCTGGGGCCTCTGGGACCACACACCAATTTTCTAATAGGCTCATGGCTCTTCTTGCTCCTAATCCTGGTTCTTGGGTCACCTTAGTAATACTCTAAGAAGGCTTCCTCAAGCTCAGAAGACCTAAGATAACACAACAGTAATGAGAGGGACACCTGATATCTTGGTGTTGGCTGAAACATGCCCATCGTCTCTGTACATCTCAGGTTCACAAGTTCAGTCCTCGAGACCGTTGTTTTAGATGGAGACTATTTTAGGAAGACTGGATAATAGGCAATAATTTGAAGCGATGGAGGGAATAGTAAAATATCCTAATTTCCAGTTTTCCAGTACAAACAAGCATCTGACAGCCTGACATGTTCATGCTATTTATGAAATCAGCCTATATATACCAGGAAATGGAAAACCAACTGAGATACTCCTTAGAAGTGAGAGAGTCTGTTCATTTCTCCCAGCCTGGTTTCCTCGTTTATAAAATGGAGGATAATTAAATCTACCTCACTGGGTTGTTGTGAAAATTAAATGAGGTAATTATATATGTGGCTTACTTAGTACAGTGCATGGCATTTAATAAAAGTTCCATCAATCACCAGCCCCACTGAGATGTCTGCAAATTATCAAAGAAAAAGATATTCACGGTGTCACATTAACAGATGAGTCTGTCACAATGACATTTTATATTTGTTCTTCGTTTTAATTATCAACTAGCTAGAAATGCTCATCAAATAAAAATAGCTGACATATATTGAACACTTGGTATGAAGCAGGTACTATGTTATGCATTTAACATGCATCATTTTATTTAACTCTCACTATTTGGGGTAGGTGCTATTCTGATGGTCAGATTACAGAGCAAGAAACTGAGGTTCCAGGAGGCAAAAGAATGTACACCAGGCTCCACAGCAATTAAGGGACAACATCAGAATTCAACAGGCTCTTAATGACTTCACTAGGCTGCTTCCCAGTGCAGGAGTTAGGTATCCTGGTGATAGGGCAGTTGTAGTCACTGGGGCGAAGGGGCCTTGGTGAGCTACTCCTCAAGGCCACTCCTGGCTTCATTCCTCATCCTTGAATACTGACTGTACTCTTTGCATGTGTCAGTCACTATGCTGGTGAATAACAACACCCTCTAGTAATGGCACAATAGTGGTGAATGTAAGGTCTCTTATAAAGAAAAAGAAGACAGGAATTTTTGTCACGTGGTCATGCCTTATAAAAACTTCAGGGAAAACTGAGCCCCTAGGCCTCGTGGCAAGTCTGAGTGCTGCTCACAGCCAGACCTTGTAGAGCATGAACGTGGTTTGAAAATTGGAATATCACCCCACCTCTATAATGAGTTCTAGAATTGGTTCTCTTGCCTGTAACAGAAGCTCAATGCTCGGCACCTCTGGACTCTGTTGTTAAAGGGACTCAGTTCCTGTCTCTTCCTGTTTGTTCCTGCAACCAAGAGCCTTGGTGAGGGCAGGGCTTTGCTCTTTTGCGTTGTTAACCAAGAGCCTTGGTTGCAGGAACAAACAGGAAGAGACGGGAACTGAGCTTACCCAGGCTCTTGACACACTCAGAAATCCCCAGGAGGAAAACTGCTTGGTTTGGTTATCACTGCCCTTGGTTCTAGGTGAAGGTCATGGGTTAGGCCTGTCCTTGGGTGACTGTAGTTCCCTGGCCCATTGAGCTGTGGATGGGAGGGGAGGGAAGGCAAGGTGCTACAGAGCTGACAGGGGTAGAACCTGACCTCAAGACATGCACAGCCTGGTCTGACTGGCTAATCTCAACTTGACTGAGCAGCCACCTTCACCACATGGTAGACATTCATAATCAGGTGCAGCACTGCAATGGCCTCAGAGGCCTCTTGCCTCGCCCGTCCAGTTCCCTGGACCTGGTATCCCAGTTTCCTATCATCTTGGGTCCATGCTGTGATGGAGGCGCACAGGCTGCCGTGAACACCCAGAGGTGAGAGCCCCTCACTACTCAGATCATGTCTCCCAGGTGAGGCCTTCCTTATCAATTCAGCTTAAAACGCCACTCCCCATGCCCGCATCCAGACTTCCTGTCTTGTTTTCCAGGTTTTCTTTTTTTTCCCTTGGCCCTTCTCTAGCACATAACATGTTTTATATTTTGTTTATGGTACATCTGTCTCAAAAACGGATGTACCGTCAAGGCAGGGATTTGCTCTTTTGCCTTGTTAACCAGTTCCTAGAATTGTGCCTGCACATCACTGAGACTGGGTGTAAATGAAAAGAGCGGCAGGGAAACCAGTCTGGGTGGAGGTTTAGCCGGTGACGGCTTCCTGAAGGAACCGACGCAAGCTGAGTCAGGCGAGCATCTGAAATGGAGGAGGCATTCTAGGCACATAGGCCAGGAAAAGGAGAGCATATTCAGAAACCTGCAGAAGTAGAGTGGCGGGCGCGGGGGTGAGGGTGGGGGTCTGTGGTGGTTGTGGGGAGTGATGCGTGAAATAAAGGTGGACAGGCAGACATGGGCAGTGAGCAGGGCCCTGCACGTCTCCCCTGGAGAATGGGAAGTCTGTGCTGGGGCTGAGGGTCGCATGGGGCAAGGGTGGCAGAGTGCTAGGGAGAGCTATAGGATTGAGGAAGGCAGCCAAGAAAACCCTGAGAGAATAAACAGAATAAAGGCGGGGTGGGTAGTGCAGACACTACTACCAAAAGCTGACCGGAAGCTGCTTTGCAGTGAGAGGGGACGGTCAGTGTTAAAGAAAGAGGTCTGCAAACACCAAGGCAACAACTAACAGTGAAACTTCACTGAAAAGGAAGGAACTCTGGCCAAGTTGGGGGAAATGTGGTCACTTGTCACTAGAGGAGTGGGGTTATGGTTGGCTGAAACTGAGGCAGACAGCAGTTAGAGCAGGCAGGGCGTCTTCGAGAGCATAAATGGTCCCTGGGTAGGAATTAAGGAGAGAGGCAGGTCAGAAAGAAAGATCTCTGCCGGAACTGGCAGGGAGAGAGACCCTCCAGCCCCCAAGGATGCCTCCTGGTGACGGAGGCCATCAAGGTGCTAAATTTATGAAGGTAGGCCTGACCACCTGGTCTCTGCCTCAGCCTAGTCAAGAGGATTTCAATTTCAGTGGAAGAAATGGACAATTAACTCCTCCCTTTCCACCATGGCCTCTGTGTGGAAGGTACCTGACAAATAAGGACAGGGTAACACGAACCCACAGGGTGATAAATGCATGCTTGGCACATAACTGCCATTACTATTCCTAAACACATTTTCTACCTCGTGGTAACAGGAACCCCAACACTTGGCCTTTGCCTACCACATCTTCAGAGTTTTCCCAAGGGCTCCTTGTACACCTCACCCCTGCTCAAAACCAACTCCCTAAATTCACCAGGTGTACTTTCACCCCCAGAGCACAGGACACTCCTGCCTTCCTCGAGGGCTTCAGCCATTTACCTACTCTCCACATCTACCCATTATTATCCTCTTTCCAAAGCCTTGGCCCAAATGTCCCTCAGCTAATAATTCTAACAGTCGTCTTCCATCCCAAACCTGAGCCATCCAGAAGCACTTGGGACTGTTCAACCTGGGTTCAAATTCTTCACCCCATTTCCTATCCTCTAGGTTAGGCCTTAGGAGTGTGCCAAGTGCAAAGACTCAGTGACCGAAAGCTGGAAGATCTGCCCCTGTGACCCGCTTTCTCTATACCCTGCCCCACTGGCACACGGAGGGATTCATTTTAAAAAAGAAGAAAAGAAAAACAAAAACCAAGCAGCAGGACAGTTTCCAGATTTATTGAGGTAGGTGAGAGGAAAATGATACACAGCACAGAAAACTTAAACAAAACTCTTAGTTCTAAAAAGTTATACCGAGAGTAGGCAGGGAGACATGGGGGACACTGGGTGACCTACCCGGATGGAAGGAAACTGGCAGTCCTGGTCCACACGCTCTGTGACACCTGCTGGGAAGGGGCAGAGCCAGCTGAAGTTCCCCAACTCTGAACATAGTCCCCCAGCACTTCCCTTCTGCTTACTCGGATGGAAAAGTCCTTCCTTTCCGCGCTAAGGTAACAGGGATAAGAAGGTCTGGCGATGCGTCATGTGGCAGCAGCACTCTTCACTCTCAAATAAAGGAAAAGGTCCCATGAGGCCAGCAACTTGGAATTTCCACATCGTAGGCCGACTTAACCCCTTGGCGTGGACTCACCATGAGGAGGCCCCTGCAGGGGAGCTGGGACCCAGGTCACCATCTTGATAGGGCCAGTGCCTCCATCCCCTTGGGGCTTCTTCCAACAATCTCCAGATCCAAGACAGCACCCCTAGAGTGATAAAGCCACAGAGCAGGAAATCACAAGTGTTTGGTCTCCGATGTCATCTCATCTTCCTTCAAGCTGGTATCAGGGAGAATGCCCCCCGTTAATCACACATGAGCTGCCAGGTATTTTTCCCACACCAAACTTGGCTCAAAAAAAAAAAAAGTCAATGCTCCCAGAAAAGAGTTAAAATGAACACTGTCTTAAAAGAAAAAAAATTTCAGGGCAACAGAGCAGATGTAATTGGCAGAGAGACAGCCAGAGAGCTTGTTCCCAGGGGCTTCTCCCACTGAGGCTCGCTGCATGGCGGTAGCAGTGAAGGTCACCACCCCAGCAGCCATCCCTCCACACTGTCATTACTTGCCAGCACATCTGTCTCCCCAGGTGCTTGTGCTTACCCCAGCCTCAAAGTTGTCCTTGTGTGGCTCCCTTCCCTGGACTACCTTCCTAGTGCCCACTCTATCCCACTCTTTTAAAGACCTTCCCAGGTCTACCATCTCCAAAAAGTGGCTTCCCTTTGGAAATTTAATGGCAATCACTATAAGCACTTATTCCTTATGCATATTCATTATGCATAATTCACCCTGGCTCCTAACAACCCTGAAGTGTCTAAACCTTGACACAGACATAGCCTGGCTCTGACAATAGGAGGCCATGCTGAGAAAGGTCAAGCTAAAAGGCCTCCTGTCACTGACCCTCACACAGCAGCCCACAATGCCTCAGAATGCAAAGCATTGGCTAGAGAAGCAGGAGTGTGTGAAAGCGTCAGCATTTGAAAGGGACAAGTATAGACCCTCCAAACACGGGAAACTGCTTTCAATAATTCCTCTCCCTGCATTATCAACGACCAGGGCACAGATAGCCCGTGATCTCTTTTGAATGCAGGTGCATAGGAGGGCAAAGAGAGATCCAGGAAGAGAAGCAGGTGTCAAAGGCCTGTGGAACAGGTTGAGTCTGGGAAAACAAACCAGCCAAGCACAAGACCCCAGGAGTGGCCATTCTTCCCTGCGAAAGCTCCATAAAACCTCCCTTGTGCCAAGGGAAATCAGAGAAGTCGCTTCGGGCAAAAACACTGGGAAAATATCAGGGTTGGAAATGCTAGAAATCATGTGTTCTTAAGCACCACAAAAGTCACCTCTATCACAGCTTTGTTTTTCGAATGAAGAAAATAAGTATCTGAATAGGTCACTGGCTGAGAGAGCAGCAGAAAGGGTTCAAACCCAGGGATAGGAGTATCTTATGCCTAGGTGCATCCGCTTTCCATTACATGATTCTGCAGCCAGGGAGGGAGGACAGATACCCCAGAGAGCTCTCATTACCCAAGTGGGACTCTGGAGGCCCCAGCCTGCAGCAGCTGCTAAAGACATGTGAAGAGCCAGATGTGACCTAGGCTGCCTGGGGCTGGGGTGGTGAGCAGACCTGGGGACTCATGCATGCTACCTTCATCTCACCTCTCAGCTCCCTTACATTTTCACCCAAAGCCCCTGGGAATCCACACATGACTCTACTGGATACAAGGAACCAATACTCCATAAAATAAACTAGAGATCTTACCTCAAGGACACCAGGGTCGAGAATGTTCCTGACATGACAACTCCTGTGATGCCTCCGTACACAGTGAACTCATCTGCAACAGACAAGAAGCCACAAATGAGCACCCGATGTCTTTGCCCACATCAGGGCATGGTAGGCATCAGGAAAGAGCTTAGCAGCAGAAAAGATTTGGGCATATCCACCTGTACCCGGGTCTCAATCTCTCTGCCTCCTACTTTTGGACTGTTTCTTATCCCCATTTTCTCCTCCAAAAAAACAGGAATACCAGGGTCATTTTTTTTATTTTTTATTTTTTTAAGAATCACATAGTTCCTGTCTCTTGGAGCCTAAGAATTCCATCACTTTTCTTTCAAGGGTGTCTTCCCTTTACCTCTCCTGCCTGGGCCAGGTTGGAGGAATTTTTATAGGCTTAGGAGCAACTTCTGGGTCTTTTTGCTCAGAAAGCTCTCAGAGAGGGCTTTTCAGATACTGCTTACGGATACTAAGCAGTCTGCCAATGTTCGCTGTCATTATTTCCTGAAAAGACACAAGACTTCCTCATGAAAAGCACAGTAGTTAACTCTAAAGAGACAGAGGATGGTCTATGGCAGAGTGGCCAATGCTGATTAAAGTGTAATCTGTGATAGGCTGAAAAGAATGCCAAGGCCAGGTTTATGAGAAGTACCATGGCTGACCCACAGCAACTATGCTGGGCATCAAGGGGGAACTTAAGCAACACACGTAGCCTGATTCCCAACAGCAGGGGCAGGAAGTGAAAACCTCAGCAATGACTCTAAAGCACATACAGCAGCCCCCAAGGCCTGGATTCCAACGGTGTGTGCAAAGAGAAACTGGGAAAACTCCCAGAACTGGAAGGGGAGGGCGTGGACCCCCCAAACATGGGACAACCCTTTCCACATGTCCCCTGTCTGTATTACCAATGAACAAGACATGTGCAGTGTGATCACTTCTGAATACAGGGTAGAAAAGGACAGAGGGCTTGCTAAAAAAGGGGGCCAACAGCAGAGGCTGCAGCAGTCAGCCCAATTGAGCAAAAAGACCCAGAAGTTGCTTCTAAGCCTGTAAAAATTCCTTCAACCTGGTCCAGGCAAGAGAGGTAAAGGGAAGACACCCATGAAAGAACAGTGATGGAGTTCTTAGGCTCCAAGAGACAGGGACTATGTGATCCTTAAAAAAAATAAAAATAATTTTAAAAAATGGCCCTGGTATTTCTGCTTTTTGGAGGAGAAAATGGGGATAAGAAACAGTCCAAAAGTAGGAGGCAGAGAGATTGAGATCCGGGTACAGGTGCATATGCCAAAATCCTTTCTGCTGACAACATAAAATTTGAAGAAGGGCTGCCTGAGGGCTCTCCGAACCAAACACATAAAGAGGAACCAGGTGTGTTCTCAGAGGTCCCAGAGCGGGTAAAACTGGGGGCCAGGACAAAGCCACCTTATCTCTCCTTTATCTACATCCCAGAGTACATCACGCCCAAGGATTCTGCGTGCACCTTATGGCATGCAAAGCTCCAGATCCCCAGAGAACAGACCTCACCTTGAGAGCACCCTGGTCCAGCCACTTCCTGACAGGATGGAGACAACACTCAAGGGCCCCTCTGCACTGAGCTGCCTCCTGTGCAATAAACGAGAAGCCCTGAATGAGCAACCTAGATGTCACCTGGTCACAACATGTCCTGGCAAGCACATGCAGAGTATCTGGCACAGTAGCTAGTGGCTTCACAAATGTGGGCTATTGTTACTAATCCACAAGGCACACCACTTTCTCATGAACTGGAAAGAACTTTACAGCTCCACGTGGGACAACAGATGTGGCAGAGAGGGCTTTTCAGATCATCTTCTGTGCAAACTCTGATGAAATTGTAGAGGTTCTGGAAGCTGGATCTTAAACAGGATGTGGAATCCAGAACAGGTTTGGGAGTGTGTGGCACCAGACAGACAATGCCTGGCATAAATGGGGAGGGCAGTAGGGCAGAAGCACCTGAGGCTGCATGTGGAAAATCCTCCCCTGGTGTACTGGGCTCCATCTCATGCCAAGGGGCCTCCAATGAATAACGGCCAATAGGAAGAACAATTCCAAGAAGAGAAAACATAGAAGTGCCCTCACCTCTTCTGGCTGGCTGGCTCACAAGCAGTCTTTCCCTGATCATCCGCACGTGATGAGCCATGCCACCTTACAAGGATTCATGTCCCCTTCTCTTGGCTCCTTTTATGCATTTGATCCACAGCTTCTGAACACTGGGCACCTGCCAGGCACTGAGGCTAAGGCGAGGCAAGACTCGGACACTGACATCAAGATCTGAGCAGAGAGAAGCAAAAAGACAAGAAAACCAACAATTCCACAAAGTATGGTTAATACCCTCATCTCAAGCCACATCACACCAGGAACCCTGCACACTAAAGACCTGGACAAGAGAGAGAAGGGAGGTAGAAATGGCTTCCTGGAGGGAAGCCCTTGGTGAGAAATAACCTAATAATTGGCTCTGCAACCAGCCCATAGCTCCTTGAGACACAGGCCAAGTTTTATCCTCTTTTTTAAAAAGCCTCATAGAAATCACCCCATGTTAACAACCTGTTATCCATCCAGGAAGGGCAAAGCTGCCCAGCCAAGGCCAGGAGCCTGAGCACTATCATCACTTCATGTAAAGGCTCCATCTCCCCTTATCAAGAGAGTCCACAGAAAGACCAACTTTTGGTAAAAATGCCTCATTTGTTCATTCCTCCCACATATATGTACTGAGTATCTACTATATGCCCAGCACTGTGGGTTCAAAAATAAAGTTAAACACAGACAAGGCCTCTGTCTTCCCAGAGCTCTTGTAGTTCCCCTACCTGAAGCAGAGTGAAGACAAGAGAATGAAGCAACCCACAATTATACGCTAAGGAGAAGCTGAGTCAGGATCTGAACTCAGGCCACAAGCCCCCAAGTTCAAAGTGATCAGGAGCAGCAGCACTCACCCAGGAGACTGCCTCAGCCCCTGGACACAGTGGGGGAGCATCCAGCAGTGCAGAGCAGGGTCCTGCAGGAGAGGAGGGGGCGGGCGCCGGCTGGTGCGGAGCACACAAGCAAAGTCTTCCGAGAGAGAATTGTCATCTGTCTCCAAGAGCCACAAAGTCACAAAGCCTAGGCAGGGAAAAGCACCGGGAAGCGGCTTTAGTGCAGAACAGGGCGTGGGATCCAGACTCTGGGGCCCTGGGAGCGTCCATGAATTTAAATCTCAGCCAAACGGTCTGTAAAATGGAGGTTTTACACTTTCCTTTAAAGGTTATTGAGAGGAAACGACTAAACGGTCATAAGGACACTTTATAGGCAACCGACGAGTGGCTTTAGGGATTAAATGCCGAGTGTCAGAGGTGGTGGTGGGGACAGTGAAAATCAGAAGCCCTTAAGCCTGGGGCCCACGCGTCGCCGGACCCATTTCTGGCCGTGAGCTGCCTCAAGGATACCCCGCGGGGTGGGTGCGGTTGGGGATTGGACGCCCGCTGACCTGAGGGCCCTTTCTCGGACACGAACCCGAGGGGTCCACACCCGGCAGAGGAGGCGGTCCCGCAACCAGGAATCGGGCCTGGGCTCGGAGCTGACCTCCGGCCTGATCTTCCTGCTTCCTTGGAACCTCAGTTTCTCCTCTCGTCGGGGGCAGGTGGACGCAGCACCAGCCTTGGAGGCCGCCGGGGGTACCAGTGCGGCGCGGCCCGGCAGCGACTGACCTGGGGCGTCAGGGCTGGAGACGGCGGGGTCAGAGTGGGGGACGGCGCGGGAAGGCGCGGGATGGTTCAGGGGCACTCCTTCGGTGACACAAGACCGGGATACGCCTTCCACCTGCTTAGCGTCGGCGGAAACGCACCGGGAGCACCGGCTGCAGCTAGAGTGGCGTCTCGCCGGGCTGAACGCGCGCAAGCGGTCCCTTAGTGCCTCCTAGCGTAGTGGAGCTGCAACTCTGACAACCAAGTATCCAAGCTTCCTTCCATTCTTTCATCCATCCATCCATTTATCTAGAAAACATTTATGGAACACCAGCTTCCTCACCCATTCATCCATCCACCCACCCACCCACCTACCCATCCAAACATTCACCTTTTCATCAATCTGTTCATCTCGACTCCCATTCATCCAGAAAACTGAGCAGCTACTTCACATCACGGATAGGGCCAAGCGTTGGAAATATAATAAGGAAGAAAGATATAGTCCCTGATTTTGTGGATTATAGTCTACAGGGGATAATAAACAAATGAGCCAGCATATATAATAATTAAAAAACATGACAAGTGCTACAAAAAAGGGGGGGCACTGATGTAAAAATCAATGAAATAACTGAGCAGAAACTAAAATGGCAGAAAATGAGCATAACTATATCTAGAGCAACACAGGCAAAATATTTTTCATAATAAGAAAGGGGACATAGTATGGTCAGAGCAGAGAGTAAAATGTTAGAGAACAATATATTTGACTTTTTGCCCATAACATTTAAAATTTAGGTAAAATAAACACATTTCCAGAAAATACTTAACAATATTACCTTAAAGAAAAATAGAAAACTTGAATCATTTTAAAACACTTTAAAGAATGGAATCAGTTAGCAATCTTTCCACGAAGAAAACATCATATCGAGGTGTCTTTATAGGTAAGTTCTACAAAGATTTTCAGCCATATACAGTCTCCCAGAAAATAGAAAAAGGGAACGATTCTCGGTTCACATAATAACCATGAACCCAAAATAGACAAGTCGATTTGAAAAAAGTAATTTACAGGCCATTTTACTTGTGAATGTAGACATAAACATCTCAAATAAACATTGGCAAATTTCAGGTGGAAGCAGTCTTGGTCAATGGTGACAGGTGGATGGAGGACTCAGCTCAGATTCCTCTACCTTCAGGCTTCTCCTTCCGTTCACGGCTGTTGCAGATTTCCCACCCACCACCTTTCTGGGCCAGGCCTGCTGGGTGAGCTCACGCAGGAAGGAGCTAGGTGTTGGCCAGACATCCCCCAGCACCAGCAAACCACAGAGACCCTGAGCGGAGACTGTGCATGCCCAATACCTTCCAATGAACTATGAGATGAGAAACCTTCCAGATGGGTGACTCTTCCCAGAGCTACAAAAGAGTGGAAGTGCCTATCCTTTGGCCCGAAAAGTAACTTTGAGAATTGAGAGCTTGAGAGTCAAAGGTTGAGTTCAGGGCTGCATTTCTCAGAAAGCCTCCCTATTTCTTGCAAACCTTTCTCTTGTTCTAATGAAACTTTGCGAGTTTCACTGCCATGGGTTTAATTATCTTCTGCCTGACCTCATGAAGCATGGGGTAAAAAATTTCCCCAAAGTGTTGCCCTTCAGTGATAGTCACAGGATCTCTATTAGAAAGACCAATTAAAAATTATAATGGGGCTTCCTCTTCCTGTAAGTGGCCTGAGGTGACCTCTGAAAATGGTTCACTATTCACTTGACCCAGAAACTCCCACAAAATCATGCAAATCAAGAGATTCAAATCTCCGTGTTTGCTTTAAGAACAAACTGCCCAAGCCATCAAGGGTATGCATATCTGAAAAGCCTCCAAGTATCTGAAGGATGTCACTTTACAGAAGCAATGTGTGCCATTCCATCATTACAACTGTGGAGTTGGTAGGTATGCCCAGGCCAAACAATGGGGCTGGACACAGGGTCAATGGCCTAAAAAGAGTGCTGAATTTTTGCTCCACATGCTTAAAAATGCAGAGTAATGCTGGACGTAAGGGTTTAGATGTAGACTATCTGATCATTGAGTACATCCAGGTGAAAAAAGTTCCTGAGATGCAGCACAGAACTTACAGAGCTTGTGGGTGGGTAAACTCATACCTGAGCTCTCCCTGTCACATTGAGATGATCCTTACTGAGAAAGAGCAGATTGTTCCTAAACCAGAAGAAGAGGTTGCACAGAAGAAAAAGATATCCCTGAAGAAACTGAAGAAACAAAGACTTATGGCCCAGGAGTAGATTTAGCATCAAATAAATACTAATAAAAGTTAAAAAAGATAAGAAGGAGGAGAAGGAGAAGGAGGAGGAGGAGCAGGAGGAGGAGGAGCGGGAGGAGGAGGAGCAGGAGGAGGAGTGGGAGGAGGAGCAGGAGGAGGAGGAGCAGGAGGAGGAGCGGGAGGAAG